CACAGATAAACTTGTTTGGATCAATAAATTTGGACACTGTAGGTTAGAAAACTTGCACTGACCTCTAATGTTACTGGGTTCCTGTCACAACAGAGGGGATTATAAAATGAAGGGGGAAAAAAGAAAAGTAGTAACAGAAAAAAAGACAATTATAGAGCAGACATATCCTTCTTTGTGTTATCAACTCTTGTTTTGGGGACTGTGTGTGTGCATGGAGCAGTGTAGAATAGGAATATTTGCTCCCATATCAATATCTGAGCAGTTTGGGGATCCCAATTATACAAACATTTTCTGGCAAACAGAAGTGGGTCTGAAGCCCAAGGACTTCTGGGAACTCCCCTGGGGGTTGTGGCAGTCAATCACTTCTGCCACAGATTCCTGAGAGGCTGCAAGATCAGCTTTCATCATGGCCTGTCCTCACTGCTTCAGGGAACTGTGCAGTGTGAAGCAGGAGGATGCATGAAACCAGTGGTACTGATGCTAGTTCTGTCCATACCATTCATATAGCCATGACTCAGCTCTCCAGTGTAGATGTGGCAAAGGAGACAGCAGTGAGTGCAAACCCTTTCTTTCTTCATGAATATGTGTGCCTTGCTTAGCAAGATTTGAAATATTTGTCATAATTTCATTGTGTCAAGCTGTGGTTGGGGGGACCTCAGAGTCACAGCCCACCACTATATACTGTGGGGGAGAAAAACAGAAGGGGGGGAAGAAACTCCAGTGGGCAATTATAAAGCAACGTCATCATTAATGTTTATTAAATCTTGAGATATTAACCAGATCTGTCGTGACAACAGTATGAACCAGGGTGTCATCCTTAATCAACTTTATCAGTAATAAAAGAATGAGCTGCTTTTTAAAGAAATATATAACTTTTTACATAAATAAAATAAGTGGGGTTTGCTGTTCAAGAAACCCAGTAGCACATTATGCCAGAATCCTGAAAATCTCTCTCAGGAGTTCACTTCCTTGGGCTTAGTGCCCATAACTAGTTACCTTTTCTTGTGGTTTGAAACAAGCCTTAAGTACTGGCACTGATGAGTGGCAGAGGAAGTCCTGTTTTCTCATATAATCCTTTGAACATTCAGGAGATAGCAGAATCACCAGGCAAGCATGAGATTCTCTTATTTCCCAAAGTATTCTCTTAATGTTAGCAATAAAGTCTGCGTGCCTTTTACCTTTTTCCCACCTGGCTGCTGGAGTCCTAGTTGCTACTAGTAATATCAAGTGAAAATAGCTTTCATCTGCTTTTCACTGAAAGGTTTATGTTTGCTCAGTTTTTTCTACCTTAGCCTCCTAGATACTCAGTGTGCAGTAGGTTGTGATGAATTTTCTGGTTATGCATAGCCCTGGTTAAACTGAGAATCATCATGTGGTCAGTACTGAGCAGGTGTCACTGTGGTGATTGGATTAATGTTAGCATGGAGGGTAATTTATGGAGCAATAAGTAAATCACAGAAAAACTCTCTGACAAGCCATTTGTCATTTTGTTCTAAGGAAATTCTATTGTGTTGTTGCAAAAGGAGTAAATACTCCACTTCAGACTACAGAGAAGAGAACGTGAGACTCCTGTTCTGACTCATTAGTATGTTTTTATATCCTCAGTTGAGAAGTGTTATATGAAAAGAGCTTTAAACTCCACATGAGTTAAGACTTACTAGAAGGACACAGAGAAATACACAGTAGAGTGGCCAATGCAGGAGAGCATGGGAGTCTTTCTGTTAAAATGTTAGAATGAAATGTTTCAGCCTTTTCTACAAAAATATTGGCTGATCCTACTCAGTAAACTCAATTCAATTTTTAAAAGTAATAAAATTTGAAGTAAAAGTTTTGGGGAAAGTCACTCTACAGTATATTTTGGCTCACGTTAATGGGAATCTGCATTTTAAAGATGGGCAGCTAATGCACATAAGCCTGATTTGCTGTGAATCAAACAGCTATTTAATGAACTGGTGTCCATGAGTGAACTCATGACCCTAATAAAGGCAACAACAGTTTTGTTGTTAAGTCCAAGGTGAAGGATTTAATCCCATGAGTATTAATTCCATGTCATTTTTCTTTAACCATTGTTCCTGCTCTGTAAGAAAGCTGAACTATGACCTTTTAAGAAAACATCCATAAGGCTCCACTTTCCATTTTTTTTCAGGCAAGCAAATTAGTGAAAATTTTACACTAGCAGTTTTAGGTGGTCAGGCAGTACTATCAAGACCCCAACAATTCCAGTCATACAGGATACATTATTTTATTGCCAAGTCATTCTTTAGTTTCCTCCTTTCTTCTCTGCGTCTCTCTTTATCACAATTTTCCTTCCAAAATATAATACTATTACCATCCAATTGGCTATATTTAAATGTCTTTGTCACAGAGGAATCCAAGTGAAGCTGGTTTCTGTCTAGTTTTTAATTTCTCGAGAATTTCTGCATTTAAGATGCCTTGTCTCTGGCATCACACAGTATTACCTATGTTTGTTTTTACATTGCCTTGCACGTCTTTGTTCATAGTATCCCAGTTCAGTAATCAAGGGGCTGTCCGAGTTTATGCGTATTGGTACTGATGTGAGAGGCCTGGGAAAGACAAGAGAACATGACCTGCTCATTCAAGTAAAGCAGAGAATGCATACACACAAGCATTACTTTGGCAATGTTAAGGCCCACAGATACTGCTATTCCTTCTAGTATTAAGGGAAGGAGAGGCCAGCAAAGACCTACAAGGTCCAGTTCTACTGTTTCATTTATTTGTTTGTTGGCATGAAGGTAAAAGGCTGCAATAATGTCTATGATTAAGTTAGGCAAACAGCAGAGAAGATCTGATCCCATTTAGTATGAAGCTGTTTGAAAAACATGCATTCTGCAAGGAGCTGTGAGAACTATGGAAATATTTGGGGTGTTAAGGTACAGATTTTTTTTCCTCATAAAATGAAAAAAAGTTTCTCATTTTTGCCCTTCCAGGGTCTCTGCTGCAGCCCACAGACTCAGCAAAGCTGTCATATGTCTAGGCGAGTTTTGCTAGCAGTGAAGTAGTTACTGCTCTTAAATATCCAAACCATTCCTCCCCGAATCATTCCTCCAGATCGTGGCACCTCTCCTCACCTCCACTTCCTTTTTGCCCAGAAAATGGAAGTCCGTGAAGCCCAGCCCTACCCCTGGCCTCACTACAGCTTCACTGTCAGGGGGACCCTGAGAGAGTCAGAGCTGCAGCATCCTGGGCAGTTAGTTGGTATTGCCACGTGGTAAATGCAGAGCCTCCCTTCCCAACTCGAACATGGCATTGCCCTTAAAACAAGCAGCTGTTTCACCCAAGCTGAATAAAAAAGAGCTGATTATCTACTTGCTTAGCTATTAGCAACAGTCAAAAATGCGAAGAAATCAAAGTCCTGGACGCAGACTCCCCGGAGTTTTGTGGAAATGCGGGTCTTGGTCTAAGCTGTGTGGCTTGGGCCTGTCTTTAGTAACAGTCCTAGCAGTTCATCAAGTTACTGCTTGTTCTGTGTATCCCCCCCAGGAGTAATGGGCAGGCCTGCAAGCCATATTGCAAATTATTGATTTTGTCTTTCTCTTCATATAGATGAATGATGTTCTGCTGTACACATATCCCCAGAAGGATGGCAAATACCGACTGAAAAACACCTTGGCTGTGTCAGGCATGAAGGTAATGCCTCATCTGTGTTATAGTTGGAATTAAAGTTGTATAGTGGGCTGTTAGGGCTTTGCTGGTTTATGTCTTATATCCAGCTGAGGGCAAGGGGGGAAAGGGGATGGACCTGTTGTCAGGGGATTCCCTTGCCTCTTACAGGAGATACAAGGAAAAATAATATAAAGCTAACATATAAAAGATTATCTATAAGGCTGTGACTTAGTACGACAGCCTTATTCAGGCTGCATAAATAATACAAGCCAAAATCAGATTTACCATCTGATCATGAAACTGGAGACAGAAAAGATTTATTATCCCATTTTGTCCATTCCTCTCTTTTTGTCTCCAGCCAATACATGGTTGTTCCCTACAACATATTCACTAGGGCTTATGTCTGCCTGGTTTTAAACTCCTGCCACTCAAAATATACATAAGTTTTCATTTGCCTGGTTTTCATGTGCCCTTTAACTGTTTTCATCAAAAGCATTAATGGGTTCAAAAAGCAATTAGCCAACTTTATGGGGAAAAGGTGTATTGGGAGCTATTACATGCAATGATATAAACACAGTCTCTTCTTCAGTAAATTTCTAAATTGCAGATTACAGAAACTGGACACAATTGTCCTGTTCTTACAAGTTTCCTGTGCTTACCCCCTTCCCCTAAGCATCCATTGGCACCAGTACCTGTACAACAGGAGGTATTGGGCTGGAGGGCTCTTTGCTTCTTACCTAGCCATCCATTACATATGTCCTGCCAAGAACCTTCATAACTGTTCTATAGCTAATATGCCTATGCCAAGTTGTATTTATGTGAAAGAGGACTTGAAGTGGCAAGTCAGGAGTTTGGGGATCTGGGAAACATGCAAGATGAGAATTACTAATCATTAATTCCAGTGGTATGACACAGGTGGGTTGAGGTGTTATGAAAAGGTGGGAGGCTGATCACCCTAGAGACCTGATAGTCTAAAACTAACTATGGGTTCCCAGTTGGGGTAGGAATTGCCAAAACACTCTACCATTAACTGGAAAGGAGTTGCAGAGCAAGTACTTGTTGGGGTACATTTGAAGCACTGAGTCACTGGTATAATAGATACTTGTTAATACCAACATATCAGTAACATGAAGCTATGTTTCTCCTAAGTGGCTGTTGCTATTAGTAGGCAACTAATACACTACATGGCAGGGAAAAGGTTTTAGCTGAGCTGTAGCTTTTCAGTATTTTTTTTGCTCTTAAAAAGCCTTGCTGCAGACGGGCATTCACTGAACTGAAGTGCTTCACTGTATAATGTCTGCATGTCAGGAAGAAAGTTATTTCTATTCATTCAAAGAATAGCCAAAACTTTTAACGAAAATACTCTGACACTTGTCAGACTAAACATCTCCTAAGCTTGTCACATTAAAACTGAACCCTGATTGATACTTTATCCTTACCTTTATAGTTGGATTAAATGATTTTTTTCCTTTAGCACCACCACCATACTGAAATAGAGAGCATTCCTCATTACACCAGCAATACAAAAGACAGAAAATCCTACCTGCCTATCTCTTTGCATTGAAATATGAAACAGATGGCTGAGACATCATAAATCCATATGCATTGAGACTTGTATGGTGTACTGGTTATAGACAGTTTAACTCATGTCCACATTCATGTTCATGGCATTTGTTTCTAGGTCAGCCGCCCAGTGACAGAAAAAGCCCAAAACGTCCTGAAGATTGAATATGACGAATATTGCCTGACCCTGTCAGCAAGGTACTGTCCCCAAACAGCCATGGCAGAGGGTGTTACATTCTAGAGCTGTATCTCTGGATTAGTCTAACCAATACCCAAGACTTAACTGGTGTCTCATTCTTTTTTAACTGTGCTATTGTGACAGACAATGGCTGAGTGCTTGATTACACAATGAAGATACTCATTATAAATGTGAAGTTCATAAACTGTAACTAATTCAACTCATATACTGAGTAAAGATTAGAAGTCGGCTCTTGATAACATCTAAAAGAGAAAGGAAAGAGAAGAAAGTCTGTTACTAAGAAGCCTGAGTCCCTTCCATTATCTTTCACACTTTTTCTCTGTGACACTAAGAGTATGTTATATCTCCCTTTTGTAAGTTCACTTGTTACCTCACAGCACTAGGGTTGCAAAACTGCTGGAGAAAAGAGTAATTAGGTAATACCATGCAATAGTTATAAAAGCATTTAATAGTGCTTAAATAACAAAGCCAAAATTAGCCTTACTGGCAACTTCATGGGTCTTTCTAATAAAAGGAATTTCACTAATGAGTTTGTGTAGTGCTAGTGCTGATTGCAACTGGGAGTCAGGATCTCTGTCCTGGGATCACAAGCTAATGCCAGAAAGAGATTGTAGGTCAGTTTCTGATCAGAAGACAGCAGTGTACTGTTTTTTTCATGCTTCTAGCCCAAAATGATCCTGCAAATTTACCTAGAGCTACAGCAGAAAGGTGGCTGGCTTGATTTTCAGGTGTAGTTTACTACAAAAGACATAGCACACTAGCAGTGGTATTAAAATTAAGTCTTCCAAATAACAAGGTCTTCAATGCTTTTACATACTGACTTTCCCACCATCAGTCTCCAACTACAGCATGGATGGAAACACAGCAGACTTCCCTAAATTACACAGTGCAATAGAAAGACAGGGAGGGCACTTTCTTATTCAGAATCAGAATTTGGAGCTCTCATCCTTCCCAGAGCACTTGGCATCTGTGGGTAGTGCTCAGATACCTGTCAAAGCCTTTTTGTCTATTTCTTTTTATAACCAGCAAATGAGAAAATATCTGAGATTTTCTTAGAGCTGCACACTCATCACAACCCTCAAAATATACACACAGTACTTCTGAATTACCTGCTGCCAGTTACAAAAGCAGGATGTGTACAGTCCTTCTGTATTGTAGAGGGGAAGTACTGCTGCATGTTTGCTTTATTCAGGGCAACTGAAGTTGTCATTCTAGTGAGAAGCTTGGGATGTTCTGCTTGCATTGTTATGTTGTTTCTTTGCCTTTTGTACTCATATCAAGTCTGTGCTTAGATAGCCTAAACAAAGCATGTGAGGCCACTGCGAGCTGTGTTTCTTCGGTAGTAGATAGAACCAGGGCCTGAGACTAAGGTTGCCCTTCTGATAACAGAGAAGAGCACTGACCCTTATCAGAGCACTGGGATAGAGCCCCTTTCCCTTCCTTGTGCTGCTCATCCTGGGACCGAACTGCCATAAGTCACCCAAGAACATTTTTTCCTCTCCCTTGCTGTACTGGCTGGCAGAGCTGATGGGACACCAGTGGGACAGCATCCTCTCCTAACCCCACTGCACAACATCCTTGGCCTGCTACACTTACCAAAAGGAGCACCAAAGACAGAAAAGTACCAGAAGGCTTCAAGTGTCCCTAAAGACTGTATCTTTTACTGCTCACACCGAGGTGCTCCAAGTCTGCACTGGAGACCAGTTGTTAACAATCACAACCCAAACCTCAATGCCTTTACACTTGTATGAGACAAGGTGAATGCACTGAGGAAGTATGGCATGAGTGCCAGGGACTAAAGTCAGTAGAATGAGGATTACCAAAGCTCAGAAGTCAACGTGGCTATATGAGCAGATGGCACTGTA